TGTAACTCTGCCTTTCAAATAAATAAATTTAAAAAGAAAAAGAATATCAGTTTGTTTCATGTAGCAGTTAAGACACTGGTAGAACGCCTGCATCCCACATCAGATTGCTTGGTTTCAAGTCCCAGCTGTGCTTCTGCTTCCAGCTTCCTGGAAATTAGTTTGTTTTTTAAAGATTTATATTATTTGAAAGTCAGATTTACAGAGAGAAAGGGAGAGGCACAGAGAGAGAGAGAGAGAGAATCTTCCATCTGATGGTTCACTCCCCAACTGGCTGCAATGGCCAGAGCTGTGCTGATCTGAAGCCAGGAGCCAGGAGCTTCCTGCGGGTCTCCCACGTGGGTGCAGGGGCCCAGTGACTTTGGCTGTCTTCTACTGCTTTCCCAGGCCATAGCAGAGAGCTGGATGGGATGTGGTGCAGCCAAGACACCCATATGGGATGCCAGCACTGCAGGCAGCAGCTTTACTCGCTATGCCACAGCGCCTGCCCCTCCAGCTTCCTGTTAATGCTTACCCTGGGAGGCAGCAAGTGGTGGCTCAAAGTGGTTCTCTGTTACACACGAGGGAGGTGGTGACTGAGTTGTCTGCTCAGCCCTATTTCTTTCTTTCTGTCTCTCTTTCTAGAAAGAGTATCAATACTTTGTAACTTATAATTGAGAAAACCATTTTTTCCAGTTTGCGCTTCACATCTTTGTTTATGATCTTTCTGATATACGGAGGCTTTAAGTTGTATGTCATCAAAATACTTAGATTTTTATTTTGATATTTCTTCTACTATTTTTACATTTGAAGTCCTTTCCCACATGAAATTAAACTCATGGTGAAACATCTCCTATTTTGGTCTATCATGTTTTCATTTTCTACATTAACTATAATCAAGCTCTAAATGGCATTGGGCTGAACTCATTTGACTCCAAGGGAATAGCTGAGCTCTGGGAACTCTGAGCTCAGCCAGAAGCCAATAGACTTCAGTTGGGAGTAGATCTTGGGCAGGTGGCAGAAGAAAGACTTCTTGAGTCTCTTGTGGGATCCAAACAGCTCAAAATTACATAAAACTGGTTTCCCTTGGTAGAATGATGGGTTGATTTGAATAAATATGAGTTCCTTATGTTATCAGGTGGAAAAAAAGTCCATATCCTATCAAGTTATTTTGAAATCCCAATAGCTTATGTATAATTACACAGTGAGTGGGGTTTGTGTATCACTACCACCCAAAGTAGTTTTGTTTGGGGCTGGAAATGAGATGGTGGGAAAATGAAGCTGCAGGAGAAGGTGGGACTGGTATTTTTCCTCCTTGTTAGAGTAGAAGTGGGTGAGTAAAAATGAAGAAAACCTGAAGAGGAAGAAAGAAAGAAGGAATTGGGGCTTGGGGGCTTTCCAGAATAGAGTTCTTATATACATTTACTGATTGAAGATGCCAAATCAAAGACTTTAATGAATATTCTTTTTATAGCATCAAACAAAACCAGAAGGGCTTGCCAAGCCCTAAATCTCCTTCCAGTTATAAATACTTTTTTTAAAAAAATTCCTGCTTGTTGACTGATAGCAGATTTATTATTAATGACACCATACAATGCAACCTACACACTGATTTACTTAAAATTAACATGCTGGAAACATTCACTCTGCAAGACAGTTTGGTTAACAGAAGCACATCTGTACATGAGCTGTCTCTGCTAATATGACACTTTCAAAGCAATGATAAAAAACCTGTGACAACTGAAATCAATTTTCTCCTCTCAGGTGCCAAAGAGAAGAGATATGTAGTGCAAGATCTGTGAATATATGCCCAGACAGCTTTCTAAAAATAGTTTCCAATCAATCTTGTTGAAAAATTATATCCCCTCCCCCAAACAGCAAAATCTCAACTAGCAAGAATGCTCTGAAAGAAGGGCAGTCTAGACAATTTAATTATCTTGTAACCGATAATTTCCTTAAAAAGTCAATTTACTGAGAATCTTCAAATTTGACTGTCTTATTACAGCAGGGGAGATATGTCATTAACGGCTGACCACACAGCGGGGAGGAAGGGGAGATTTCCGTGCTCACCCAAACACTGGCTTGAGTTCCACTCACTGGTCAGAGGTATGTGCAGGCCTCTGATTTGGAAGAGGCCAGATGATAACAGACTCAGGGCATCCACTCTTCTGCAGGTGCAGGAGCTGGCCAGCTACCGTAGAAGCAGAATTGTTCTGTTTGGGCCACACAAACTCCCTTACTAGGTCAGTTCTGGGCCTGATTCTGGGTGAGCCTTCTGGAAGCCCAGTTTAGATAAAACTTTTACTTTTCCTATGACTCTGTGAACTTCCTAACATCCTTTACAGAATTCCCTCCTATCTACATAGGGTATAGTCTGCTACTGAGGATCAAAGTAGTACAAGGGACACAGAATCTGTCTTTGAGGACTGAACTTGTTTGGGAGTCATCATTCTTTATGTGTATTTTCAATGTAGAAATGCTTTTAGCTAATACTTGTTGAGCAATCACCAAGTATCAGCCTGTGCTAATTACATGTATTATCTTATGCAATCTTCAAACAACTAATACGCAGGTACTATCACGCCCCCCTGTGCTTTACTGATGAATGGATCAGGGTTTGGATGCGTACAGGCATTGCCCATGATTGCACTGATGCTAACATCAGGAGGGAACTCTTGCAGGCTGGCTCTGGTGCCCGTCCTCTTAAGCGCCATATCACACGGCAGCAAGACAGAAGACTCGGCTGTTCACAGACTGACCAGTTTGTAAAACCTTATCTGCTCCTGCTAATAGCTTACTTCCTTGTCATGTACTGGATTCTCTCAAAGTACAAGAGCCTCCCTGATCTGATGTGTATAAATTCTTGTATTCTGAATAACAGATTTTTATTATCGTGAAACATCATAACTACAATTTTCATGAATTATTTAAAAGCCTCATACAATCTGACAAGTAGACATACATAAGAGTTTTTCTGCAGTAGACAGAAACAATAATTTTGTTTCTGGCACCTGCTTGACTAACTGACCTTAGACATGTCATTGAAGCTTGACGAGTTATGGTTTCATTATAGAACAAAAATGTCATCATCAGTCTTACCAATTTTATAAGTGAAATGAATAATAACATAGGCTTGCTGCAAGGATTAACATGAGAAAGAATGTGACAGCGCCTTACAAAAAGTATACAAGGGATAGTATTATTAATTGTACTGTAATTAACAATTCACAGAATAGTTTTGTGCATCTTAATCCATTTAAATCCCACCAAAATCCTGAGGTAGAGAAATGATCCTCCCTTTATGGGAGAAAACTAAAATTTAAAGATCTCTGACTGGGGCCTACACTGTGGTGTAAGGGGTTCAGCTGCTGCCTGCAACACTGGCATCCCATACAGGCACCAGTTCAAGACTCGGCTCCTTCACATGAGATGTAGCTCCCGGCTAATGGCCTGGGAAAGCAGTGGAAGATGGCCCAAGTGCTTGGACTCCTGCCTTCATATGGAGACCCAGAAGAAGCTCCTGGCTCCTGGCTTTGGCCTGACCCAATACCAGCCATGGTGGCCACTGGGGAGTGAACCAGCAGATGGAAGATCTCTCTCTCTCTCTGCCTCTGTCTCTCCTCCTCTCTCTGTAACGGTGCCTTTCATATAAATAAAAAAATAAATCTTAAAAAAAGATTTATGACTTAGCCAAGGTCTCACAGTGGGTGAAAAGGAGTTTCTAAATATTTAACTCTCAACACTTATATTGATTCTTAATCTCTTTTTTATGAAGAAAAGTTTTACTGATGGATGGCCTCTATTCTTTTTTACCTTAATATTTTATTTATTATTTTTGATATAGCATTTTAAATTTACATTATACTCAAAGGTTTAATGGCTCTACTAAATAGAGTTCAACAAATGAAACTAAAAAGACCACAGTCCAGAGGCTGGCATTGTGGTGTAGCAGGTAAAGCCGCTGCCTGTGACACCAGCATCCCATGAGTACCAGTTCATGTCTCAGCTGCTCCATTTTTGATCCAGCTCCCTGCTAACAGCCTGGGAAAAGCAGCAGAAAATGCCCAAGTGTTTGGACCCCTGCCACCCACATGGGAGACACAGACAAGGCTCCTAGCTCCTGGCTTCAGCCTGAGCCAACCATGGCCATTGCAGCCATATGGGGAGGAACCAGTGGATGAAAGATCTCATTCTCATTCTCTCTCTCTCTCTCTCTCTCTCTATATATATATATATATACACACACACATAACTCTGATTTTCAAATAAATAAAAATATTTAAAAAAATTAGTCCAGGAGGAAAACAGGCAAGGGTTATGCAAAATAATCCAAGGAAAAGATATTCATCTTCACTCATATGAAGTAAATTTTATAATCACAAAATCATTAAAACTAGAATAGTTGCCGGCACCCCGGGTTTTAGCCCCACCCAGTTAGGGCGCCAGATTCTGTCCCAGTTGCTCCTCTTCCTGTCCAGCTCTCTGCTGTGGCCCAGGAAGGCAGTGGAGGATGGCCCAGGTGCTAGGCCCTGAACCTGCATGGGAGACCAGGAGGAAGCACCTGGCTCCTGGCTTTGGATTGGCGCTGTGCGCTGGCTGTAGGAACCATTTGAGGGGTGAACCAACGGAAGGAAGACCTTTCTCTCTGTCTCTCTCTCTCACTGTCTAACTTTGCCTGTCAAAAAAAAAAAAAAAAAACAAACAAAAAACTATAACAGTATATAACTCCTATCAATTTGACAAATATTTAAAATAAAGTTTGTTAGAACACTGTATTTGCAAAAAACTTATACAGATGGACAGTCTCTATTCTTCTTTTCTTTTTTTTTTTTTTTTTAAGAATCCCAAATCTGCATATGCAGTTCAGATTGGAAAAGATACATTTCACAAACCCCCTATCAAGTTCCTCTTGCTGGATGTGATAGCCTCTATTCTTATTTTTAAAAATGGCATCATGGCATAGGTGGTATTATATGTTTATTCTAACATGGTGCTTGATGCTGGATGAACATGGGCCCACTCACCTTTTTGACTTCATACTTAATGGCAAGTTTGACACGACTCAATGAAGCTTTATGCCTGTGCACCTCCAGAGGTTCTGCCGATTCCAGATCTCCATTCAGAATGGCTTCAACCTCTTCTGAGTCTCGGCAGAGATCCAGCACGCCCACCACAAAGTCTTTGCATTGCATGGAGAGCTTCCGGTAGTCATTCTACAACAAGAGGGTTTCTGGTCAATCCAGAGAATTTGCTTTAGCTCGACAGAAAGTGTTTAGGGTCCCTTTCTGGATAGGAAGCTTAGACCCCAGCCAGATACAAGGCTTGTTGAGTTACTTACAGGCTGCATTTGTCTCCATTCACTCCCTTAGTCAGGTGCCCTTTGAGCACCTGCCCAGCCACGTGAGACAGCTCTGACAGTGGTACGCCCAGGATCTCTGCTGGTATGTAGAATCTAAAGAAGTCAAGCTCGTGGAAGTAAAGAACCGAATGCTGGTTACCAGGGGTTGGGGAGGGAACTGGGAGATAGCGGCCAAAGAGTACAAGGTTCCGGGTAGACAGAGGAATGTTTTTGAGATCTGTTCCAAGGCATGAAGATTATGGTTTTAACAATGCACTGTAGGCCGACGCCGCGGCTCAATAGGCTGATCCTCCGCCTAGCAGCGCCGGCACACCGGGTTCTAGTCCCAGTCAGAGTGCCGGATTCTGTCCTGGTTGCCCCTCTTCCAGGCCAGCTCTCTGCTGTGGCCAGGGAGTGCAGTGGAGGATGGCCCAAGTGCTCGGGCCCTGCACCCACATGGGAGACCAGGAGGAAGCACCTGGCTCCTGCCTTCAAATCAGCGCGGTGCGCTGGCCGCAGCGCGCCGGCCGTGGCAGCCATTGGAGGGTGAACCAACGGCAAAGGAAGACCTTTCTCTCTGTCTCTGTCTCTCTCTCACTGTCCATTCTGCCTGTCAAAAAAAAAAAAATGCACTGTATGTTTCAAAATTGCTAACAGTACATTTCAAATGTCTCACAAAAAAAAAAGATAAATAGTTTTAGCTTGGTCCAATCATCCAGTATACATATATCAAAATATCATATTTTACCCCATAAATAAAGACAGGTACAATTATTTGTCAATCACAAATTTGCTCCAAAAAATAGTAAGCACATATTAAGTGATGTTAGCCAAATGTCAATGCTGAAAGACCAAAGAATCAAAAAGAATTTTTTCTCTTTAGTTCTTTTAAAGCCAAAACAAGATCTTGATATAAGGGGCCACTTTTTCTTAAAATGGCAGATCTGGTACGTGTGAAAACAACTTCTCCACTTTACTACCTCCTGCCTTGTTGGAGACAATGCTTCTCTAGGAGCAGTCCTCATACCAGGAGCGTCCACAGCACCTGGGAAAGTGTTGGAAATCCTCAGACTCTGCCCTAGAGGTACTGATTTAGAAACTGAGGAAGGCCTGAACAATCTGCAATTTAACACTCCTTCAGGTGATTCCAACCCAAGTGCACTCAAGTGGACCTTTAAGAATGGGAACAGGTGGCTAGGTATACAGAAGGTTGTTTGCTTTGTTGTTCCCCTTTGTCTGAAGGGCATATTAGCATGCCCTGCAGAACTGCAAAGAGAGGACTCTCTGATTATATGTAATTGAATTCCCAAGGGTTACAGAATATCAATACCTGAGAGAAAAATTTCCAGGCCACTGGAACTAACACCTTCCTAAAAATAACCTGTGAATCTTTCATTTCATTTGCATATTTACATAGTGCCCTGGACTTTGGGTAGCACTCCCTGTTACCTTCTGAATGGAGCTCTATTTCTGGCCCACTGGTTCCAGGCAGGGTGTCAGGGACTGTCCCTTGGGAAAGAGTTTCACTTTCAGAAGCCCCAGTTCCAGTTCCTAAAACTCCAGCTCATTAGGAGAGTTAACCAGGTAAGAATTGCATGTGGCACACGAGGAAAACAGAGTTCCTCATTTCAGCCCATTCTGAGATGCTGAATGTGTTGATATAACTAAGTAATACTTAGCAGAACACAGTTCTGGGCTTCCATGAAAAAAAAAAAAAAAAACACAAAACTTAAGATACAAAGAACTCCATTTTCTCTCTTAAAGAATTAATTTGGTTTGATGGGCAAAACTACATCACCCATTAAAATAAATAAGAAGAGGTTGTTTAAAGGCTACACAGACTAGAATAGTTTCCATTTCAGATATCAAAAATCCAGATAAAGAACAGTTACAGTTAATCCTTTTCCCCTCATAAGGGAACAGATAAAATGAATAAAACTTCAATCTTTGGTTTCCATTCAAGCTGGTACCATGCAACTGATAAAATTAATAAAATGTTCAGTCTCTGGTTTCTATGCAGAGTGTCAGTTAAATATCCATCTGCCTTCCAATCCTGAAAGACTAATGAAATGTTTTATTATAGCATCCAGAAGAAGTATTAAATCCATGTTCGTTTCCATGGAAAGGTCCTCTTTGAATACCGTTTTTTAGATGAAATTTCCTCACATTATTGTTTAGTTCAGACTGTTCTGTGCGATCTGGTATGACACAGGATGCCCATTTCCCCACGGATCTGAAACAAAAGAGGCTACTGTGCATGTTCTGAAGAGACCTCAGTACCTGCTTCTGCATACCTGCATAATCTGCAGACTGTCCATTTTTACAGAAAACTGTATTTTTTCACATCCACTGAAAGATTGGTCAAGAAACAAGAAATCAGTAATCAGGAAAGCTGTGAGGACAACACTTTCACAACAATCTAAACATTTCCTGCTGCACCAAGTCTGATACCCAAGCCCGGGGAACAATGAGAGCTGGAGATAATGGTGATTTTTTTTCTTTTATTGCAGTCATGAGATGCCATCTTTTAAACACACTAGGGTACTTCAGAAAGTTTGTGGGAAAATGAAATTAAAAGGTAAATTTATTTTGGGGCAGAAAAGTTTTGAAATCCATGCATAGTTTTTTCATAATATGCATTTTCCATGAATTTTATGAAGACCCACATATGCATGGATTTCAAAATTCTTGCTCCAAAATAAACATATCTTTTAATTCAATTTCCTTTTTTTAATCAAAAAGTTTTTATTTACAAGATATTTATTTGAAAGGCAGAGTTACAGAGGGTAGGGGAAGGCAAAGGGAGAGAGATCTTTCAAGCACTGGTTCTCTTCCCAAACAGCCACAGTAGCCGGGGCTGGGCCAGGCCAAAGCTAAGGGCCTGGAACTCTATTTGTATCTCCAATGTGGGTCGCACGGGCCCAGATGCATGGACCATCTTCTGCTTTGCTAGGCTGATGCTCTTGTGGGATGCCAGGGTTTCAGGCTTTGGCTCAACCTGCTGAGTCACAGTGCTGAACCTTTTTAATTCCATTTTTTCCAAGAGCTTTCTGAAGTACCCCTGTATGCAGGGCTCCCAGGGAAAGATAGAGAGCTCCAGGCTAGAGACAGCCTTTTCTCAGCTGCTAGAGTAATTGTGAAGTCTGCATTGAGCCTGTTAGCTCCACCAAGAGATACTCACTCACATTGCTTCACGGCTTAGACACTTGGTCTGACCTACATCATTTTCTAATAATCGTCTCGTAGTTTGGTTTTGCTAATCATCTTCACCGTACTGCTCTTCCATTACCATGGCCTTGCACGGTTAGCAGGTGGACCTACTGCACACATTATAGGCAGGAGCTTAAAACCTCACAACCCGCTCAGGGCAGAGGAAGAACAGTGAAGCTCAGCGTCCATCACAGCCCGTCTACAGGTTTCCACATACTGCCTTTGATGTGCATGGTTTAATCCCCACGGCAATCCCTTTAAAACCATTAGAAGAAAACTGAAATTCAACTCTGGGTGGCTTAAGTCAGGGGCTCTTTCTCTCATAGTAAAATAGGCAGTATAGTATAGTGAGTGGTTAAAAGCACTGAATCTGAAGGCAGACGTCCTGAGCTCCAATGCTGCTTCTACCACTCACTAGCTGTGTAAACTTGTGGAGTTTACTTAATCTCCCTGATGAGAATAATCCTAATAGGGGTATTGTGAGAATTATGCTTGGTACACGTTAAATACTTTAAAAGTGCTTCAGTAACGCCAGGTACCTTAGACTAGATGTACAACCTAGGACTGGGACCCTTAGACACTCAAATCCAGGCTTAAACAATGGGACCTGGGCTACAGCCTTTGTTTTCTCATTTGCAAAACGAGAGGACTACATGACCAGATGATTCCTAGAGAACCTTCATGCTAATGGAATGCTATCTTGCTTTTGGAGTCTATTCGATTTCTACTTCCTTATAGCTCTACTGTGATATAAGTTGAAATTCTTTTTCTACTTTGAGGAGAGAAAAATTGAAGCACAGGGAAGGTAAATGGCTTTTTTGGGGGGGGGTTAAAAAAAGTGTTGTTTTTTTTTTTTAACCGAAAAAAAAAAAGTGCATCATTGACTCAGTAAGAATTAGAGAATTTCAATTTGAGTTCCTAGAGTTTAATAAATGACTGGCTTCCTTGCCACTGACATTTGGATGATTAGACCTAGAGTCCATCCTGTCCAATATTCTATTTCTCAGAATAGTTTCAGACAGCATTTGCACATCCAAAATATTTCTTTAATAACCTGTCACTGAGCTGTCCTCCACTAATTTATCTAAATCTATATCCTAGAATGTTCAACCTCTTAGGGTAATGACCTTCAGGTATTTTCAGCTCCATGCCTATTGTATTCCTCAAGGAACTTAGAAAACTGCATGGGGGCTGAGGGTCTTTTCTGGAGCACCCAAGCCATGGTAATTTGAGGGGTGAGATACTGGGCATTCCAGGGCGTTGATGAGATAAAATAGGAATAAGAATAGGTGTTTGACAAGGAGGAAAGATCACCTCTTTTTCACTAGGGAACATATTATCTATTTTTTCATTTCAAGGCTAGTACTTTGAGCTCCAAGTCCCTCTGGACAGAATCTAGTGAACGCTGTGGAACAGGGCAAATTAGGTTACCTGGCTGTCTCAGAGATGAGTTTCACTTCCATGGCCCTTCCAGGGCTCAGAGTCCCTGGGTCAGTGCTAAGGACACTATTTTCTCTGTCTGTCGATGCCTTCAGATGGACAGGAGCATGAGACGAGAGGGCAAAGAAGAGAAAGGAAGGACATAAGAAAGGAATAGCAAGGACAGTTAAGAATGGGCAAGAAAAAGCACATTTGGTTCGGAGGAGAGAGACTTGAGGGACTGAAACTTCTGAAGTACTGTCCTAATTTTGGTTCAGAGAGGTTTAGGCTGCTCAGTGCTGGCTAGATAATCCAGAAAAGGGAACTGAGAGTTCATGACACCTTTTGCATCTCCTTGGGTATTTGGCAGTTTTATGGATGTCCTTCACACCCCACTTGTATTTTCTCATCTTTTTTCCTCTTATGATAATTCCTCACCTTTGAAAGTTATCAGAGTTGACTCTCTGTCAGAGCGAAGGAGATTCTAAGCATTACTAATATGGTTTCAGCCAACTTCAGGGGAAACTATGAATAACAAATTCTCTTACCATCACTTCACTGAGATGATTTCGGGCAGAACTGCAAACATCACCATCTTTAGCAAATTATTAAATATAATCTTAGAAAATATTCCTTTTATAGAATCTCTTGTAGACTTCCAATATATGTTAAGTAAAATGCACAAAAACAAAGTTCGTGTGATATTTTTAATAGTGGCAAGTAAACAAACTTTAGAATTATCTTTATGACTACCTCAAAATAAGGGAGTGATATTTATAATTATTTTACTTGAATGATTTTCTAGTGTCTCTCAGCAGAAGTTGAAGTTTTCAGCTTGTTTTACCTGAATTCTATCCTTAATTCCATTTTGGGTTCAAATATGTAAGTCTTTTCAAATACTATATAATGAATCTCTTCAATGGGAACAGATACTTGTTATTTGTATTTTCCCCAAAATCTTACTATAAATATGTAGCCTTTTTCCAAAAAAAAGTACAATGAGTTAATAAATAAAATTACACCAAGGCCAGTTCTCCACCAGGACAAGATAAAGGTTTACAAACACCTAGAAAATTTCAAATTTGGAAGACGGTGGGGTACTTCCCCACTATTTTCTTTGAACCTTAGGGTAAGGTAGATTTTCCTTCATCTGAATTAATTACTAGTTGCATTTGTGTAAATCTCACCTGAGTATGAAAAAACACATTAAAAAGTGAAAGACTCTGTGATCTGAAACCACAACCCTATTAGCTCAGTATCCAGAAAATAATTCAAGGAATAGGCGAATAGGTTTCACAATCATGTTTTAGATGGAATTTGAGAGGCAAGAATTTGCTAGGGCGTCTGATTGCTTTTTACCGCAACAATGAAACACCCTTTTGCCCCAGATTTAATAGCTAGAACCATTCAAAATGCATAAGAGGATGTAGCAATAGAGTAAAAATTAAAAGCGGGCTATCATTAACATATAATTTTTATAAAAATACTTCTGATTAATGAACCTAAAATTCAGGGGGGAAAATTTTATTCATTGTTTTAAAAATTCATAAAGGCAAACCACCTTGCTGTCCTTGTATTTCTAAGTTGACCTGACGCTGAAGACTCACCCCTTTGAATATACAGATGTAGAATTCTGGGAGAGGCATTTTGCCATATTAAAGAAATGACTTTAATAGTATCTTACACTGGTCTTCTGACTTTGTTTTTGATCCGATGTAAGAATGCTTGGACCAGTGAAGAGAGCACTCCCGCCTGATACAGCTGCAGAGGCAGAGCCGGGGCTGGCTCTGTGCACCCCTGCACAGACCGGCCATCGGGGTGCCTCCAGGTACTGTGCACCCCCTCAAAGGAGCAAAAAACTCTATCTTCTACCACTTCTAACTTCGGAACAGTAGGACTAACTAAATCTCTCCTTTCAACAAAAGTGAAAGAAGTCTCGAGTTTTCTTTAACACATACCCAGGACACAGAGCAGTGCCTGAGTTACAGTTCTGTGGTTAGGGCACACGCAGCTCAAAATGAATTGATCACAGCACCGTTATTGGGGTGGGGTGGGGGGGTCGCCAGATCGCCTCTGAACCATACTCCCAGTCCCTGGCGACTTCCCCTCCACCGGGCCAAGCCGGGGAGCGGAGCAGCCGCGGGGGAACGGGTGAGTGCGCGGGGCGCCGGAGAGCAGCGCGGGGCTTACCTTGAACTCCTTCTCGATGTTGGCCAGTTTGGCCAGCTCATTGCTGAGCTCCAGGGCCGTGAGCACCGGGTCCTCGCTGGACAAGGACAAGTAGGCCGGGCTGGCCAGCCCCTTGTAGGCGTTGATCCTGGAGCGCGAGTGGCTGAAGGAGTCATGCCTCTGCTTCTCGGTGCAGTCCCCGCACTTGCAGAAGTAATCGTGCGGCCGCTCGATCCTGGCGCCCTTGAGCAGCAGCATGTGCACCACCTCGTACTTCTGGCAGTGCGCCGCCAGGATGATGGGCGTGATGTCGGGCGAGAAGCGCGTGCCGTCCTCGTCGTACGCGTAGAAGTCGTCGTCCTGCAGCTCCTGCTCGCAGGGGCTCAGCGTCAGGCGCTTGCTGGCCGCGAAGCCGGGGTGGTTGAGGATGGCCTCTACGATGCGCACGTAGCCCTTGCTGATGGCGAGCAGCAGGGCGTCGCCGATGCGCGCCAGGTTCTCCTTCTTGAGTAGCAGCTCGGTCACCTCCAGATGCTCGTTGCCCACGGCCAGCTGCAGCGCGTTCTGGCCCATGTAGTCCACGCAGTTGACGTTCAGCGTCTTGGACTCCTCCAGCATCTTGCGCACCACCGGGATGTTGCCATACTCGGCCGCGTCGAGGAAGCGCTCCTCCTCGGCCGTGAGGCTGGTACCGCGGTCGTTGAACATGAAGGCCGGGCCCCGCACGGCCTGGCGCCGGCCCTTCTCCCGCATCACCGTCATGCGCCTCAGGGATGGGCTTCCCTCCATGGACCTAGGCAAGCAGCGAAGACAACTGTAGGATGTCGGGGCACACTGCTTCCTCCCACACACTGGGGACCCTTCCAGGACCACACAGGACCCACCACAGACCTGAGGCTCCGGGGCAGCCGGATCAGGAGCAAAAGGCTCGCTGGAAATTTGCTCCTGTGGCTAACAAGAGCTGCTTGACCCCAGAGAAGGGTTGGGGAGGTCCCTTTGGAACAAGAGCCCTTTTCTCTAGCAAACCGCACTCGGATGGAATCCTGCTAATAAGAGCCATCTCCACACACCCCTGCCGCCCTTGCGACACCTGTTCAGAAGGGACTCACTGTACCTTGTGGCCTGACAGGTCTCCCGCTCTCAGGGAAACAGAAGCCAGCAGTCGCCTGGCACCAAAAACAGGGGGCTGGAAGGCTAAATGAAGCGAATGTTTTCAAGAACACAGATCTCAAAATCAGGGCTTACTGTAGCTAAAGGAAACAATGATCCCCTCCCCACAGCCACCCAGACAAAAGCCTACAACTTCAGACAAGAATCATCTTGCAAGATCTTATTTTTTTTTCCTCTCCAGGGGACTCCTGACTTGTCTTTCTCCAACCCTACTCTCAATTACAAGAATTTCTATTTTCAGTAACTGAGACAAGATTAAGCAGTTACAGAACATGAGCATCAATTAGATTCATCTTGTTAAAAATAACTATGCCTTTGTAATAAGAACTGCTTAATACCAATATTATACCTTTATCTTTTTTAACTGAGACGATGTGGTTTGTTTATGGTTTTAAAAAATCCCAAGCATTGTTGTGAATGAAGGAACTGGGCACTGAGTGCATATCCAGAACACTGTACAGTGAAACCCCAACCCCAAGCACATCACTGAAATTTAGTTGTTACCATGAAATTCATACCATTCATTTACATGTTCAGTGATTTGAATTCACACTGTGGTTTCCATAAGGTTGGGCAAATAATTTCATTTCCATATGTAAAAATGGGAATTGCTAAAGTTCTTCAGATTTCCCCCATGAGCTCATGATGAAAAGCTTTTTCAGAAATATAATCTCTGAAAGATAATGCTAAACAACGTAATTTTAACATGTTCAGTGCCAGTAGTATTTCAGTGATCTGCAGAATAGCTCAGTGGATGCTGAACTACTGTCCACACCTGCACCTCTGCCTGTACCCAGTTCCAACATTCATACTGATTGAAAAGCTCAAAATCACTTCCTTTTAAACATCCATTTTTTTTTTTTTGTATAAGCTGCACCTAAAGGTACCAGATAGAGCTTTTTCTACATTACTGACTTTTGAAGCAAATCAGTTAAAGATAAAAGTGAGCGGCTGGGGAGCCGGTTCTGTGGCATAGTGGGTAAAGCCGCTGCCTGCGGTGCTGGCATTCCTTATGGGCACTGGTTCAAGTTGCTCCACTCCAATCCAGCTCTCTGCTATGGCCCGGGAAAGCAGTAGAAGACAGCCCAAGTCCTCAGGCCTCTGCACCCACATGGGAGACCAGGAAGGAACTCCTGGTTTCTGGCTTCAGATCAGCTCAGCTCCTACCGTTGTGGCCAACTGGGGGGTGAACCAATGGATGGAAGACACCTCTCTCTCTTTTTCTGACTCTGCATTTCAAACAAATAAATTAAAAAAAAAAATTTTTGACAGGTGGAGTTAGACAGAGAGAGAGACAGAGAGAAAGGTCTTCCTGTCCGTTGGTTCACCCCCAAATGGATGCTACAGCCCGCATGCTGCGCCGATCTGAAGCCAGGAGCCAGGTGCCTCCTCCTGGTCTCCCATGTGGGTGCAGGGTCCAAGCACTTGGGCCATCCTCCACTGCCTCCCCAGGCCACAGCAGAGAGCTGGACTGGAAGAGGAGCAACCAGGACAGAATCCAGCGCCCCTACCAGAACTAGAACCCGGGGTGCCGGCTCCACAGGTGGAGGATCAGCCAAGTGAGCTGCAACGCTGGCCCTAAATAAATATTTTTAAAAAGTGAGTAGCTAGGAAAGAAAATGCTTTATTTATTTAAATTATTTCTTTTCTTTCTTTCTTTTTTTTTTTGACAAACAGAATTAGACAGTGAGAGAGAGAGAGACAGAGAGAGAAAGGTCTTTCTTCCGTTGGTTCACCCCCCAAATGGCCGCCAAGGCCGGCACTGCGCAGATCTGAAGCCAGGAGCCAGGTGCTGCCTCCTGGTCTCCCATGTAGGGGCAGGGCCCAAGCTCTTGGGCCATCCTCCATTGCCTTCCCAGGCCACAGCAGAGACTGGACAGGAAGAGGAGCAACCGGGACAGAACTGGCACCCCAACCGGGACTAGAACCCCGGGGTGCTGGCGCCGCAGGCGGAGGATTAGCCAAGTGAGCCGTGGCGCCGGTGAAAAATGCTTTATTTCTATAATATATATATTCCAGAAATACCTCCTATCACAGAGAAAATTTCATGGATACAAGTCAGGGGTTGAAGATGAATTAGAGAGGAAACTGGCCTCATTCGAGGGAGATGGACAACTAAATTAGGGAGCTGGTCCAGTGGGAGGAATCAGGTGGCCATCAGTCCCCATGAACAGGGAGGAGCACAGATGCTGCTGCCAGGTTTCCAGGATAGAGACCAAGGCAAATGTGTCAGGCACACCTGAGTCTGCAGAGGCAAGGAACCAAAGAGCACCCCAACGAGCAGAGAGTACTATGAGTGGCACCCCAATCGAACGCCCAGTTAGTGTCAGGCGATTGACTTTTAAATATTAAATGCATATATTTATGTATACATACATATATGGACACACACATGCATATATATACATACATGTGTTTATAGCGATTTCTAGACAGCACCACAAGAAGCTTCCCATGGCAGTGATACCTGGGCACAGGGGGCTGGCTGTGAAGAGCCTTGGAAAAGGAAGACTTTTACTTTTCACTTAAACCCTTTCCTGCACATCTTGAGTGGTTTTCATCACAGCTTGTATGTTTTTATTAAAATCAGCATTTTTAATTTTTATTATTTTAATCCCTTAGTTGACAAAGATTTAAAAATACAGATGCTAGTTGACCACCACCTCATCAAATTCCTTTTGAAGGTTAATAAATGCCCTACATTTGGCTGTTATCAGTGGGATATGGATGTGTGTTGTGTAAGGGAGTATGTGGAGTGGAGTGTGTGGGTGCAAGGCTGGGTGTGTGTGTATGTGTTGGTATAATGATTATAATGATGATTTTTAGGTGCACTGGGAAATATCATTCACTGAACTGTATAAAAAAGAAATTTGTTAAGACCAAACTCCAGGATAAGGATTTCAAACAAACCTTATAAATATTATTGTAATGAGTATGTTTCATGACCATTAATGGTCCTGACTTCATTGAGTTTCAATGTTATTATTAAGCTATAAACTGTTTCCCTCCAAATGGCCAGAATTTCAATGTTGTATAAAAGATTAATTTTGTTCCTACCATTAATAATAATATATTGACATTAGCTATGACTATAGAATACATCAATAAAGAGAATTTATATGAGTATACATGCTTGCAGAATCCCAATCTATACTTAGATTTAGATTCATCTTATTGAAAATAACTATGCCTTTGTACTAAGAAAATAAATGGGGAAAATAAACTCTTATTAAAGTATCACATGTAAATGGAAGGATTTTTAAATTTAATGATGGCTACCTACAAAGAAAACAACTTACAAAAACCCAACATTTCTCGCAAAATTTCTTGCAAAAGAGACTGAATTGGGCCGGTGCCATGGCTCACTTGGTTAATCCTCCGCCTGCTGCACCGGCATCCCATATGGGCGCCGGTTCTAGTCCCAGCTGCTCTTCTTCCAGTTCAGCTCTCTGCTGTGGCCTGGGAGGGCAGTGGAGGATGGCCCAAGTGCTTGGGCCCCTGCACCTGCATGGGAGACCAGGAGGGAGCACCTGGCTCCTGGCTTCGGATTGGCTCAGCGCTGGCTGTTGTGGCCATGTGGGGAGTGAACCAACAGAAGAAAGACCTTTCTTTTTGTTTCTCTCACTGTCTATAACTCTACCTGTCAAATTAAAAAAAAAAAAAAAGAGATTGACTTGACAGTATTAGGAAATTATTCTTTCACTATTTTTTCTTTGCATTTCTTAGTATATAAAAAAATAACATGAAGCTATGGGATACATATAGACAGTATAAAATTCACTATAGTGAAACATAAATATAGCCATCCTTTTGAATAGTTACCAATTATTTTTGTTTTCGTGGCAAAAGTAGCTATCATCTACTCATTTAGCCTGAATCTCACATACAGTACAATTTTATTACCTATGATCCTAATGTACATTAAATTTCTTAGCATTTTACATTTTTCTTCACATTTTTCTACTTTCATATAGTATATGTGAACTGAAACCTGTGAATTTAGTACTACACAAGTCACATGAATCATTCTAATTCTCTCTTAAAGTGATTCTAACACTGAGTTAAGTGTGAAATCAGGTTTCTCAATTAGAACAAATTACACTGCTATTTCAGAATAAACGCGCTGACTTAACACTACTAATCTTCATGGTGAATCGACAATAGGAAGTTATCTTTTTTAAAAAAACGCACAGTTTTCCTTACAGTGCTAAGACAAGCTTAACTGATCTGGACTGACAGAATGGTTGGAGTCAATAAGCAATGCACCAGCCTGAGAAACAAGGGAGGAATGAGAGCGAAGGGGTGCAGCAATGCTGACAAGACTATGTTTCCAGGGCTCGTCCTACCTTCAGATCCCCACCCCACGTGGGGACTCATTCAGCACCAGGAGCATGCATTCTGCAGGAGCTTCTTTCTGATCGGAGTTCTGGAGAGCTAGTCTAAAACCAGAGGCTCTCCAAGGGCCCTAAGTCCCTTCACTAGGACTGAGGCAGCCGGCCAGTGACATGACTGCTATGGCCTGAATACTGTGTGGCCCTTGACCCCAATCCATGTTAAAGCCCTAACACCTAATGTGAGAGTATTTGCAGATGGGGTCTTTGAGAAATCATTAGACTCAGAAGA